CCTCCACAATACCTTTAAGGGTTAGAATAAAATTGACAATTGACATGCATTACTTAAAAAAAAAAAAAAGCTTTTATTCAAATTATTCCCTCAGTAAGGTGTCTTTAAATTGAAGTTAAACAAAATTTAAGCAGTTTAACATTTTTATAAAATAAGCATAAGTCAAATTATTACTATTTTTTTCAGCTTGTGGTATCACACTATGCTAGTTTATCAATTATGAGTATACATCTAAAAAAAAAGTGACGAACTAATGTCTTACGGGAGCCCAAGGAGTGGATTGTTTTAAAAAAAAAAAAAAAAACAACTACAGCTGCTAGGCTTCAGGTACTTAGAGATTCACTTCCAAACAGAAACCCCACATTCATATCTTCAGGTAACACAGAGTACATGTCAGACTTAATAATAATACTTTAGCGATAGTTTCAAGGTGTTTGCTTTATTGTATATCTCGTACCGTGTCTTTTGGTTGTGCTGTTCTTTTTTTTCATCTCGTTACAGGTGATGAAGCAGACTGAAGATGTTTTGTCGTTGTCTCCTTCCTATCTCCTCTTTCTTTCATCTTTTGTCCTTTTTTTTTCTTTTTCCTTTTTCTTCTTCTGTTCTTCTGCTCTGCTTGCATTGCGGTGTCCGTATGAACTGTAAAACTCCCTGCATAATTATAATAAAGCAATTTATATGCATGAAACAAGTGGAGCAGTATGGCAATTGCCATACCGCTACACTTGTGAAAGTAAAATCTGTTGGGCTCCTTTTGGCATCAAGACAATTATTCTTATTGCCACCTTGCCAGAACAACAAACATTTCCATTATTTAATCAGATCCTTTTGGGGGTTCAGTGCAGGCTCGGAGAAATGAACTCGAACTGAATTCTCTGGGAGACCATTCCCCCACACAGTGATCTTCACACCTTCTGATTACTTTTCAGATGTCGGCCCCGAACCCCCATCTACGCTTCCATTCCTTCCTCCCTCATCCCCTCATCCCTTGATCCCTCATTGCTTCATACTATCATCCTCAATTCAGTCAATAAACCTTTAAACTCATATAAAGTTTTTGTGTGGTCCTTGCCAGTGAATGTTCAAATGTATTTTGTTATATTTAATGGCCTCCAACCCAAAAAAGGTAAGTAGGCCTAATTTTTTACAGTATAAACTGCATTTTAAAACATGGTTAGAAGATGATGCTGTACTCATCTTCAAACCCCAGTCTTTAAATTTCTTGTTATGCTCAGATTCCCATAAGAAATCTTATGGTTGTAACTACTATTCCCAAACCAGAATATTGTAAGTTTTCAAAGTAAAAGATGAAACCATCTTTTTTTTAATTATCCATCATCTTTCCCAGCTGTCAGTGAATGCACCATGCACACACTGTAGATGGCTAAATAATCCATCAAATATGTTTATAGATGTCTCACTAGCTCTGTGAGTAGACTGCAATGAATGGAGGTTCTAAAAAGGAATATAATAAATACCTAATAGCAAACTAATGAAACGGCAAGTAATAGCAGCTAGAGTTTCCCTAACTGTTGTCTTACTGTTGGTGTGATCCGAATACTAATACCCAGGCCTCCTGTGGTAAGAAGACCTTCTTTTCAGCTGATGCCAAATAAATCTTTGTAGAAGCAGGAGGGGAATCCTGAGCGGTTTGATTTTTGGTGTTTTGTGGAGGTGGGGTCTTATTTCCAGAAGTCTCTAATAAAGTTCCTTTTTCTAACAAGTCAGACAAACTTTTCTCAATGTTCTGGTTCCCTTTTGATTTATACATTTTCATTCTGTAAATGGTAAAATATATTAGGGCCAGCCTACTTTTCTGCTTGATTAAACATTCTGCACCTAAACTAGTTATTTTGCTTAGTTGGATATCATGTATATATATGAATATATATTCTTGAAAATATGCAGTATGCACAGTGAGAAAGTAATATTTAAAACTGTATTACACTGTTGTTTTATTATGACAATTTGTAGAAGTTTTATATCTGAACTAACATATAAGCATAGAACCTTTCCTGACGTAATGTCTGTGATGTCTACAAAATACCGCAGTAAAGTGCAACACAAATAAACAAAAAAAATTTCAGAGAAAATGTAGAAATAATTTCATTATCTCTTGAAATCCAAGCCAATACCCAATGATACTCATTAACCACAGATTGTGTATATTTCAAACCCATGCCTTACGTACAAAGTGTGTGTATGCACAAAAAAATTGCCGGCACAATATTTGAAGCACAACTCAGCATGTTTATTGCATAAGTAAAATAAAGCCTTCTTTCCACCCAAAAACACTGACATTCGACTTGGTTCAGTTTATTAAACTGAAAGAGCATCACACCATTTGTAAAAGTTTAATCTTACCCTGATATCTTAGCCTCAAACGATAATGTAAAGTCTCCAAAAATAATGGAAATAACTTCATTTGGATGTAAACTGTAAATATTCCTCTATTCTGGTCTGTAAATGTGCATCAGTCTGTAAAATTTACATATAATATATTCTCAAATGGGCACCACAAAATGGTGGGGGGGTCAGCAGTTAAATCGTTAGAAGTCAGAAGACATTGCTGAAGTGGAAAGCTGGAAAGGTTTGAGTAGTTGTGTAAGGATGGCAGCCTTGACACTGGTGGAGGACAGCTTTGGTGTCAGGATTAAAACAAAAGGGAGCCACATATGTAGCGTATATTATTCTCCACAGGAGCATTGGGTCATCTATTTTCATTCACTATTTAAATCTAAATGAGCGTATTTTACTCTGCACGTGCACATTGACTGTCCCACATGCACAATTCAGTGAGCACCGAAGCTGAAACTCCACCCATGTGAATAGTTAGTGCTTAGTTAGGGCAGGTTTTTGCAGTTGAAATGATAAGCTGTGCTTCTTTAGCTTTGCAGATATTAAATATTATCTTTTAGTTCATCTAAAGGTCACTATTTCTCCATTAAGCTCCTTATTGAACCAAAGCTACATTTCTAACGCTTCTCTAGTCCTGATTTGCAGAGTTGTGCTCCTTTTGTTTTCAAGATATAATCATTTTTATTTTCAGCCAATGACATCACCATCTGACCAGACATTCGTGCTGTGCTCATTTCCAAAAATAAAGTTTGGCCTTTATACAGACACTTGGAAACTTGGGAGTTATCTTTGACAAAGGTATGTCATTAGTGCAGGACCGTAAGCAGCTAACAAGAAACTGCTTATTTCAACTAAGGAAAATCTCTAAACTCAGGAATATTGTCTCAAAGAATGATCTGGTTATAATAATTCATGCTTTTGTGTCTCCGCGTTTAGACTCTTGTAATAGTTTCTTTTCATGTCTGAACAAGAAGGAGCTCTTTCAGCTGCAACCAGTGCAAAACTGACCCATACAAATAGAAGGACATATTCCCGATTCTAAAAGCACTTCATTGGCTGCCAGTGTCTTATAGAATCATGTTTAAAATTCTAGTTTATTCTTTCAGAGCTTTACATGGTCAGGCTCCTTCTTACACCAGTGATCTGATCCAGCCTTACATCCCTGCCTGAGCTCTGAGGTCTGTGGATCAGAATCTGCCGAAGGTTCCACTCACTCGTTATCACACCAGAGGGGACCATTCCTTTCAGGCTGTTGCTCCCAGGCTATTGCTACCAGAAATTGGAATGATCTTCTGCTCATATTGCATACTATTGACTCTGTTGTCACCTTCAAGAGCTTACTTAAGACCCATTAATTTGTACAAGCTTTTAATTAACTATCTTTTGGGCTGCTATGATCTCTTATTATATTGGCCTTTTATTTTGGCTTTTTTTCTGATGTTTTTAAATTGTGCTGTGAAGCACTTTGTGCCTTTGGTCTGTGAAAGATGCCATCTAATAAAGCCTACTTACTTACTTAAAACAAAAAATCTGAAAATATATTATTTATTAGTGAGACTGACGTTATTCAAGTCTTTAGTTGGATGCAACAAATATCCCTGATGGGTGTTGAGGTCTATGTGACTGTTTGATTGAACTAAAATATTGTAGGTATCTTACAAGAATAAATGTCCAAAAATGCATTTGTATTTTAAGGCCGGGAATAGGTCTGGAGAAAATTCCACCTGCAGTTACATCCATGTTGAGATTTATAAAGAATCTATAAAGAATTTATAAAGGATTGGACAGAGACACATGTATGCACAGGGTTTTACATCAGAATTCTTTTTGAAATGCAAAGTTTAGAGTCCCCCCACTGTTGTTTGGAATTTAAAGTTTTGAATATTTATTTAAAAAAAATTATGTCTTATTTGAAAAAGATAAAAAAAAAGTTCAATCAAGCTTCTCAAGGCTTTGCATATTTCAGTGGAAAGACAATTTAAAGTGGTGTAAATAAGAAAATAAAATAAATAGAAAGATGAATTGGAGTAGCATAAAGGCAACACTGTTAAGGAGAATAATAGAGCGCCTTTAAAACAAGATATATATATATATATATAAAAATAAAATAAAATGACTGATGAATGTTAGACAAGATAAAATGTTTAAGAAAATAGAAACAGTTAAAAGTTAAACTTGAAACATAATGAATAATGATAAGATAGCAAAGAATATAAATTCCTTAGACCACTCTGCAATCAGGTTCAGATGAGTGGAGAAAAGAACTGATGATTATTCTGACAACAGATTAAATTGTCTGTTTTGTTATAACTACTTGACTTTGTTAAAGTTCTTGGTCTCAAAATTATAGAGACAGATTTTGCATTTTATATATTCACTGGCATGAGATTAAATAGGGCAATATATAAATGCATGTCACACTTTGCCAGTTATTTTGGTCAGTCATAAAAAAAGAAACAATAAAATACTGTAAAACCAACTCTTGTTACATCACACCTTTGCAAGGCAGTGAAAAGATGACCAAATTTGTTTTTGTTTTTTACCAGTAGATGGCAGTAATAACAGTCATGCTACCACCTTCATGCCTCAATCTGAATCATACAGGAAGTTACATCATGTGTAGCAGAAAGGGGGCCCTCTGCTGGCCTTGTATAGGTACTGCCTATACAGGGTGAGGGCCCACAGACTCTGTGACAGCTCCCCTTCCTCTCCCCTCTCATGAAGGACACAGTTTGTGTAATGTGGTCACACAGCAAGGACAGGAGAGCCTCCTGCACACTGAGGGAAAGCCTGGGAGACGCTGCTTTGAGTTTTATTCAAGATGGAAATCAGAAGATATGAGACAAGATGACAGAGAGTGAATAAGTTCTTCTTTCTTCACTGGATGGTAGGTCTCACATATCTGTTGTTATATTTTTGTTGTGATCATGCAAATTTACCCCACAACAGTTTATGTTCTCATGAGTTTTAGTTAAAAGTTTAATTTAAGAAAAGATCTTATTAGGATTGTATCAGTGGCGGCTGGTGAAAAATATTTTTGGTGGGGCTGATATAGCCTAGTGTATGTCTCCAACTAATCCGGAATAAGAATTCAAATAAACAATTGGACAATACATACAATTTAACAGTAATGATTTAATTTACTATATAATAACAGTAACAGTGATGATTTGGGTCACTGTGACGGGGTTCTTTGGCCTCCAAGAATCCAGGCTCAGTCGGGTTACCGATGTTGCTGATTTATTGAGCTCAAAAACTCAAAACAGGGTGCAAAAGAAACTAAACATATACAAGATCCTCTGGGCCTCAGCCTCCCTCCAGTTACCAGCAATGTAACAAAGAAATAGAAAACAAAAATTGCTGCTTTTCTTCCCACAGCCCTCATTAAATAGTTTAAGCCCCTCACCTCTGGCTCTCTTATTTCTGATTTCTTCTCATTAATCAGTTTTGTCCATATATTACCTCCACAAACAATTGATGTACAAAAACAAATCATTTTTACAACTTCATTCTTTTACACAGATTCATTGACTTATTCAATTACACTAAACTGGGTTTGAACCCAGCAAAGACGCAGCCAGACTGAAGATGACAAGTCCCCATAGCATAAACACGTACACACACACACACACACCCACACCCCCCACACACCCACACACACACACACACACGGCTAACCCCACTGAAATATTAAGTGTGCACCCTCAATACGCCAGCAGGTAACCAGGAACAGCTTGTGTGTTTTAAGTTCATGGAGCTACTTGGCTCAGCGCGAGTGTATTGGTCCTCACAAACACAGTATAACAGGAATGTGTGTGTGGCGCGCAAAGTTAGAGGTTGTTTTAAGCGACGAGGTGGATTCGTCACAGTCACAATAACCATAACATGAAATGTTCATATCCTACAACAGGGATGTTCTTCTGGCAAACGGGTAGATAAATAAGGATCTCACCGAATTTGGTGGAAGCTGCATCTCGCTCGTTACATTCGCCATCTTCCCTCTAACTGTCTGCACCTGCGCTTGGGTTCAGAAGCCTGTTAAAGCGCAGTATTTTCAGCGCCCCAAGACCATAAAGTTCCGAGACGCTGATTGGCCATTAAATTCACCTAGCAATAGTACATGATTGACAGATTCTCTGCATATGTGGGGCTGTCTGATAGGCGCCCCCAGAACAGAGACGGTAGGAGTCTTTCTGTGGAAATCCACAAATTAATGACAGTAGATAGGGAAATTTAGTTTATATAATTTGTTTTGCTTATAGATACACAGTCTAGAGAGTAAAACTGACATTTATGAGTTAATTTCTAAAAATATATTTTACGTTTCTCTCTTCTTATCAGGGAGGGCGGTGCCCCAGCGCCCCCTATGGGCCGGCCGCCACTGGATTGTATATATATTTCTGAATGATTTTTAATCTCTTAATCTGTCCTCAGTTCACTTTTTAAACTTTTCTTCCAGGATTTCCTACATGCTTGGTGTCATTGGTATGGTTGGATTTACAATCTGAGGTTGTCCAGTTCATGTAGGGTGACACCATTGCAGGACATCTTTCTAATCACACTGTCATCAGCTGCTGTTTAAGGCTCTAAGCTGCTTGCATTTCCACTCAGACACTCATGGAGAGGGTGCACCCTTGTGGAGTCTTTGCTGTTCACTTTGATGTATTCTTTTATATGAGTTTTTAATCAATTTTATATTTATTTTTTGTTTTATTCATGTTTTGTCCCTTATAATCTGATCAGACTAAACTTTTTTTTCTGTTTTAGGTCCATTAGGATGTAGAAGTGTATTTTTTTTTGTGTCAGTGCCAAAATTTCTTCTAATATTGATCTTTATATAGTATGCCTTAGAATGTGTTAGAATTTAGTTGAAGTTGCAGAATTTAAGCCAGATGTTTTAGGCTTCCTTCCACAAGGTTTTTAAGTGATTTGCTTAGATCCATTCCTCCTGAATAAATTAATACAGAGAGATCCAGAGCAAATAAGTATAACTGAGTAAAGCTAAAAGAAATTATACAAATAAATACAAAAATAGAGAGAAGTGCAACAAAATTCCCCCAAAGAATATACAGCGGGTAAAATAATTAATGAATACGCCACCATTTTTCTCAGAAAAATATATTTCTAGAGGTGCTATTGACATGACATTTTTATCGGATGTCGGTAACGGTCCATGCAATCCACATATACAAAGAAATCCAACCAAAGATGTCCAGAAATTAAGTTATTTGTAATAATGACACTCGGTTAGTGCCATTAAAGTATTAAAATTATTAAACACGTGAAGAAAGTGAGGTGCAACAAGGCATGGAAAGCCAAAACACCAGCAGAGCAAATTGATATCGGATTGTTCAGTCTTAAATCATGGCCTATAAAAAGGTGTCTCTGGTATCACACAAGAAACATCTCATGCTGGGTAAAAGTAAATAAATTTCTCAAGACCTTTGCGACCTTATTGTTCCAAATAATAATGATGGTACTGGTTGTAGAAGGATTTCTAAACTTCTGAATGTTCCAGTGAGCACTGTTGGAGCCATAATCCGAAAGTGGAAATAACATAATTTCACCATAAACCGACCACGGCCAGGTGCTCCTCACAAGATTTCTGACAGAGGAGTGAAAAGACTGATCAGAAGAGTTGTCCAAGAGCCAAAGTCCACTAAAGGAGAGCTTCAGACAGACCTGGAATTAGCAGGTACATTTGTTTCAAAGAAAATAACAGGTAATGGACTCAACCGCCATGGCCTATAAGCATGCTCACCATGCAAGACTCCATTGCTGAAGAAAAACCACGTTGAAGCTTGTTTAAAGTTTGCTGCACAACATTTAGACAAGCCTGTGAAATAATGGGAGAATATAGTCTGGTCAGATGAGACCAAAATTTAACTCTTTGGATACATGATACAAATCATGTGTGGAGGTCAAATGGCACTGCATGTCAGCCCAAAAACACCATAGCAACAGTGAAGCTTGGAGATGGGAACATCATGGCGTGGGGCGGTTTTTCACCATATGGCACTGCCAAGCTTTAAATAATTGAAGGAAGAGTGAAGAGAAAAATGTAATGAGACATTCTTGATAATAAAAAAAAAAATCTGCTGCCATATACCAGGATGATGAAGATGAAATGTGGGGGGACATTTCAGCAAGACAATAACCCCAAACACACAGCCAATAAAACTCAATTGGTTTCAGAGAAAGGGGGGGGGGCTGCTTAAATGGCCCAGTCAATCACCTGACTTCATTCCAATAGAAAATGGAAAGAACTAAAGATCAGAGTTATTAGAAAAGGCCCATGAAACCTTCAAGATTTAAAGACTGTTTGGGTGGAAGAATGGGCCAAAATCACACCTGAACAATACATACGACTTATTTCTCCATACAGGAGGCATCTTGAAGCTGTCGTTGCCAACAAAGGCTTTGGTACAAAGTATTAAATATATTTCAATAAGTGCATTCAATACTTTTTCCTAGTGCCATTCAATATTATTACACATAACTTAATTACTGGACATCTATGGTTTCCTGGGCTTGGCATCTTTTTACTCAAGGGTCTATGATATTTTTGAGTAATGATGATTATTATGACAGCTGTTCTCCAAATATCAGTTGGCTATGGCAGCTTTAGAAATATGTCATTTAGTTGGAGCCCTTCAGCTGATACTTGTGCTCAATCAAGAGCTATAATTTGCTTTAGTCCAACTTTAATGCTTTTTTAGGAATAATTTTTAACAAGTTGTCATGTTTGGTTGATGAAAATCAAAGAAGTTGGTGGTATCCTATTATTTATTCATCTGCTATACAATTAATATTAAACAGTAATGTGGGTAAGTGTACACATTTGGTTGTAATTTTTGTCAAACACTGGAATTTTTCCTTCTTCAGTTGGAGAGATTTCTGCACAAAGCAACCATGGGAAACATCTTTCAGTGTTGCCACACCCTGCTTGCCTTCTTCAAGTGTCAGGATGCACCATCTCAGGGGGGGGCTGAGCAATCCCCTCTTCTATCAAGCGATGAAAGCGATTGTGACTCCTGGAGCTCTCAGCACAACTTAGAGGACAATATATTAAACCCGTCTACTGGTATAACAAACACAGCACTTGAGCCGGAACATTTTCTGTTTCCTGACATCATACTAAGCAGCAACCCTGGAGGCGAAGTGACACCGGTGGAGCCCATGGTATGTCTACTGGTTTCTGAGGAGGATGAGGAGCAGGGATTTATAGCAGGTCAACCTGAAGATGAACGAAAAATATGGGGCAACGGCAACGGAAGAGGCAGAGCTTTCTCTGAAGTTGAGACACAGACTGAGGAGGAGACTTCGATTGGTACAGAGGTGCAAGCTCAGATAAACTCAGAGGCAGAAATGCAGACAAATCCTGGGTACATTGATGAGACTCTGGAGACAGCGAAGATAGAAATCTGGGACGAAAAACCTCAGCAGGTAGATTTGATTTTAGACACACAAACATCACAAATAAATAATTTAAAACTCAACAATTTACAAATAGTAGAAGCACAAAGCATAAACACAGAAGATTCATGGTTAACAGAAAGGGAAGAAAGGAAAAATAAATCACAGAAGTCTAAACAACAAGCTGAAGAAGGACTGGAACAGAGGGTGGAATATTCCCCTGGTATTGTTTGGACTAAACAGAACCCTGCACTGATGCATCACAGTGAAAGCAGTAAAGATCAAAACGTTGACAAGACTCTGCAAAGAACAGGTAGATTTGATGACAGTATTGATGCAGACAAAAAAACTAACAACACAATCAATGATATCAGCTCTGCTGGAAGTCATGAGGATCTCCAAGTAAGATGTGAACACAGTGAAGCAGATCCAGTAGGTAAATCTGTGATGTTGGCTCATAAAGTACGAAAAGAAAATGATCCATTAAGTATTAACGCAGATGATTTAGCAGAGCGATTCATTTCTACAAAGGATCCAATGTATGATGATAAGAAAAACATAAAGCCAGCCAAGAGAGGACTGGAAGAGCATGATGAGCAGGAAGGAGCAGAGAGACAGGAGGAGAAAAGCCTGTTTTTAATGGACAGACTGTTTCTGGGAGCTCCGCTTATGAAAGGTTGGTGATTGGCATCCATCTTTGTTTATCTTTATGGATTCACTTTTTTTTGCTTAAGTCTTAAAATGGAGAGAAATCTTCTATATAGGAATTTTTCTTCACTCTGTTGTCTTCTCTGCCATTTCTGCATGGGTTTAGGAATCACTGAGGATCTCCAGCTCTCTCCTGAGAGAAGTACGTTGCCAGGCCTTGGAGATGTAACCGATCTTCATGAGGACGATTTTACCGTCAGAATTCAGCCGCCTGGAACAGACAGTTTTGAGCTTCAGGTAATACTCGCTTCTGTTGTCCTAGAAGAGCTTGACTGAACCTTTACCTCCCTCCAGTATTTTACTCTGTCTTTCCTTCCCTCTCAGGTGTCAGGACAGATGATGGTATCTGAGCTCCACCAGGTGCTTATGGATCATGAGATCACCTGCCACCGTACCTGCTTCTCCCTGCAGCTAGGACAAACGGTCCTCGACAGCCTGACCAAGCTCGGCTCCATCGAGGGCATTCGGGGGGGTGTATTGATCAGGGTGGTGGAGGGTAACTGACTCTTCCTTTCTCCCATCATCCTTTCAACTTCTGTATTTTCTCAACAATCAAGTGTAAAGTTGAGGCAGTGTGTTTGGACTACCAGAAGCAATTTATTTGTAATATTTTAGACATTTTCTAAACTTTTTTTTTGCTCTTTTTTAATCGTTTTTTTACAGATATATTAGCAAACATGTATTTGGAAAAAGCTATAGACTGGGTAGGGGGTAGTAACTAGTTACATTTACCCAGTTACATTTACTAGAGCAACACACACACAAAAACGTGTTTTTAGGAGTAGTTTTAATGTACATTACTTACTTTTACTTGAGTAATATTCTAGTGATGCATTATTAATCCTACTTGAATAAATTATCTGGCTACTCTGTTGGTTGTGAGTTAATTGAGCTATTCAGAGAGATCCGTGGAACGAACACTTAACAGTAGATATTTTCCAATCCAATTGAAACACCTATGGTAGAAGAAGAGACTGGAATCATCCATCACCCAGTTTGAAGTCACCGAGGTGGTCAGTATCAAGGCTTCGGGGATGGATGAGAGCCACCCTGAGTGCCTTTGAGCTCTGGATGTTGTTAGGTTATTGTGCCTGACACACCTCTTCAACATTGCATAAAGGTCGGGGACAGTGCTCCTGGATTGGCAGACAAGGATGGTATTTTCCCTGCATAAGAAAAGGGACCGGAGGGTGTCTTGCAACTATAGTGGGGTCACACTTCTCAGCCTCCCTGGAAGGCCTGTGCCGGGTTGCTGGAGCAGAGAGTCGGCTGATTGTCGAACCTCAGCTTCAGGAAGAGCAGTGTGGCTTTTGTCTCAGCTGTGGAAAAGGGGACCAGCTCTATGCAATCTGCAGTGTGGGCAAGGATGATTGGGAGTTTACCCAACTTTTGGACAGAATTTCTAGGCGCAGCAAAGGTCCAGAGTGGTGTTTTGTTTGGGCACCAGCAGATCACATCCCTGCTTTTTGGAGATGACAAGGTTCTGCTGGATCTCTCCTGCTAAGAACCACAGCATGCACTGGTGTGGATCGCAGCCGAGTGTGAAGCAGCCGGGATGAGAATCAGCTCCTCTGAGTCAGAGACTTCGGTTCTTGACTGGAGAAAGGTGCATGTCCCCTTCAGGTTGGAGGAGAGTTCCTGCCTCATGTGGAGTTCAAGTATCTGTATAGGAGTAAGGGGAGAAGGTAGCAGGACATGGATAGATGGATCAGTGCAGCTGCTGCTATAATGCAGATGCTGCACCTGTCTGTGGTGGTAAAGAGAGAGCTGAGTGAGCTCTCCTTTTACCTGTTGGTCTACGGTCCACTAGGAGCACATCAGGCTTCCCCCTGCAGAGCTGGAGGAAGTGTCTGCAGAGAGGGAACTCTAGGATTCTCTACTGACTGCTGCCTCTGTGATCTGGTCCCTAGATGTAGCTGGAGATGACAAGTATGGGTAACCCATAACCCTGCCGAGTTTCTCTTCATGTTTTTTACTGAATCGCATGATTTCAAAATTCTATCATTTGTTCCTATTTATGCTGTGGATTTGGAAATGCAAATACCGGTAGTTTGAACTAATTTTACTTTCTGGACCTGCATTACCCATCCTAAATAGTTTAGCAAAATATTTTGGAAGAAGATGGTCTCTGTGGCCCAGCAGAACTGAGAGTTTAGGGCGATGCATGCCCCCGCGACAGGAGAGGTAACTCTCGGCAGGCAGGTAATTCTCGGCATAACACAGGAAGAAAGTAAAAACAAAAGTAAGTAAAAACAAAAAATAGACACCAACATAATTAAATACAATTACCAAAGCCTTGGGTCTCAAGGGAAACTGCATTTCGTTTAAAAAGAAAAACATTTAAAGGTTTTAAGATCACACTTACCCCAGTCAGGGTCAAAGTTCATGACTCAACACCAAGAAAGACTAGCCAGTATGACCTATAAAAGGTTTCTAAGGCTAAAGCCACCGCTAGTCAAAAAACACACAGGCCTCTCTCATATTTACCCAAAACATCTTACAGTCTATTTATTGTCATTTATATCTGTATTACCAAACATATATATGGTTGAGATATCACTGCAATGACTCAGGAAAGGAGCAGAAACAAAACAGCAGCATCATTCTTATGTAAAATCAACAATTTTCTAACAACCTAGCCCTAAACATTTCGAAAAGATTTTCTAAAGGTCTACATTACCTGACATACAGTTAAATTTAACCTGCGCCAATGAGACAAAACTGTAACTTTTTGGAAGTGATATACTAGATATACACGGTTATATCTAGTATAAAGCCTAGCAGTGTTTGTGAAAGAAAAGATTACAAAACCCAACAGTTAAACAAGGTAGTGGCAGTGTGATGGTCTGGGCGGCTTTGCTGGATCTGGACCTGAACAACTTGTCTTTACTCATGGAAGCAGGATGATCACTAGCAGAACATCCTACAATGTCTGGGTCATTTCCAAACCTGAGTATACAGCTCTATAGCTGTGATTTTATTTAAATGCTTTTTTTTAATCAAAAACAGCAAATAACATCTGTTGTTTGTCTTTCAATAATTAAGTTTTTCGTTTGTTAAGAATTGTGTAATCGCTGAAATGATTTTAGACCAACATTTATGCTAAATTGCTGTTAGAACTCTCTCCTCAGGTATTTCTATGGTACATAAACATTAAATATTTAACATTTAAATTGTTTTTAAGGCTTTACTGCAGAAAAAATCAACTTGATGCACAGGTCCAATATTTTTCACTCTGTTATTACGGGTAGTTTCTGGACGTTACCAGAAATTTTCCAGATATTTGCAAAGTTATCAACAGGTGATAACTTTTAAAGGGTGGCTTCTCTTCTTTCAGATCCCTACTCAGTGCGTGATGCTCGTGTTCATCTCAGACACATTCGCAGTTTGCTGAGGAGCCTCGACCCTGCAGATGCATACAACGGTGTGAACGGCCGTTCTCTATCCTATCTGTCCTTATACACCAAGGCAGAGCAAAGTAATGCCTCTCCCTCATGCTACATTATGCCAATCTTTTTGAACATCTATGGGGGGAAAAAATTCATATTTTGATCATTTCTTCAGATGCTGAAAATGAGAAAAAGATGCATGTTTCTGAGAAGGGTTCCATAGACTGCAGCCCTCCAGCTTACATCATGCCTGGATGTAAGGAAAGACTTTTAACTCCATTGCAGCCCATCAGAGATGACTGGAAGGTGAGAGCTCTGTCTGGATTAGTAAAAACATAGCTCAGACATTGTGATAAACTAAATAAGGGCTTATGTGCAGCCTTTGCAGTGCCTGCGAGTCCTGACTACAAGCAGCTGGAACCCTCCGCCAGGAAACAGGAAAATGCACGGAGACCTGATGTATGTCAGCATCTTAACTTTGGAAGACCGAGAGCTCAGCATCACTTGCTCCACGCGGGGTTTCTATCTCAACCAGTGAGTCTCAACAATCTACAGGTTTAAGAAAGTATCTGAAATATAAACATTTTTATTTTGACATGGAAATTTGAACAGATTTTCCACGTTTTTGTTGTTCAAGTCACTATTTTTGGTCATTTGGATATAAACACCACTTTGCAGTAAACAGGGACAAACATGAGGTCAAATGTGGTCCGCAGGGTCTGCAAGATTCACCTCCATCTGTAGGCTGAGAGTAATTGCTTCATAGATTACAACCAGTAAGCTAATGTTGCCTGTGTGTGATATGTTACCTACTGTAAATTAGGCAAAAGAAAAGGGTTATAAATAAAATAAAAAACTTACTAAGCTAAGCAAAAAAGTTAAACAGAGAATGTAGGAAGTTAAAAAGCTCATTTAAAAAGCTAAGTTAAAAAGTTTCTGTTTCAGCATTAATGTTCTGAATGGTTATGTTGTAACACAAAGATATTTTTTCTTTCTGCAATTGTTGTTCACCAATTTCTTATAAAAGCACTCTTTTTTTTTTTGTTTTTTTTTTTACAATTTTAGAGCAAAGGACTTTTTTTTGGTTATTACAAGCTTGATTTTCTTCATGAAAATACCTGTAACACTCCTGACATTAAATTACGAATTTCAGAGTACTTCACTGAGTGCCATAATTTTTTGAGATTCAGAATGCCGTGACAGATGGTTTTTGGTCCCAATAAATATTTGGCTGTAAAAAAACAAAAACAAAACACACACACACAAAAAATCTTGTTGGTTCTTTATGATAATCCCACAATGGTGGGATTATCACCACCATATTAAGTTTTTGGTATTACAAATAAGTCTTCTAAATGGTATTTAAAGTTGTCCACTCCTTAGTGGATATTTATGAAGTTTATGTTTTAAACAATCTTAATTATATCATGATGATTTGGCATTTTACACACTTCACATTTTTGTGGGGTTTAAATTTCCGATTACTATTCTTACATGAAGTCTGGAAATTGGGTTGTAGAGCCTGCAAATTGAGACGCAGTTATTGCCTTCTTAAGCAGAAACCCTGATTAAAACATTAGACAGGCAGTGGCATTAGATACCAGTTTATTCAAGACTATTTGTCCAATGTATTGTCTGAGCTCAAAACTCTCAAACAGTAATATAAATGAAGCCTTGAAGCCACGCATCCTTGGTTATACCCGCTTATCCTTGCATCTGCTGGGGTTAGTTTATTCTCTGCTGATTGTTGGGTAAGGGGTGAGTTACAACCTGATAAAGGTGCTATCCATCATCAGAAAACACAGATACTCTCCTCTTTTGACGTTTTTTGTTTGCAGTCATGGTCTTTGTTTTGATGCTGAAAGAAAGGCAGAAAAGGTTTCTATAGGAATCAAACCTGGTATGTTAAAGCTATAGTGGAGGATGTTCTTTTTCTGGGTGGATCATCAAAATAAGTGGTCCTCCTAATTGTCAATCATTCTGGTGATATATTTATGTAAGGCCGTCCTACGTGCTCATCCCCATTTTCGCTTACCGGTCGTGAGTCTGACATAGTGGAAAAATTGCAAATCTTCTTTTGGAAAGTAAGTTTGTATGAACGATGCAAACAGCAACTTTAAAACAGAACGAGAACACAGAGGAGAAATGGGGGACTGCGTGCTCTTTTATGCGTTTAATAGGTGGTCCCTTTTGGGAGCGGGCACACGGTTGTGCATGTGCGTTTTTTTTTAAGTGGAGAGGGCGGGTCTTTTAAAAAATTTGCAAAGATCCTCCACTATATCTTTATGGTACTGAGGCCTGTTTTACCCTTGTACAAACAAAGACTCAGAGAACCAGTTTCACAAAGAACCAACTTCAGTTTTTACCATTCTAAACATTGTAGATTCAAAGCAAGAGTTGATCAATGTTTTAGAGATTGACCAAACAAACCTCAAACTTAGATCCATAATAACCGTCAAGCCCCCTTTCCCTCACCAAGTGTTTTTCTGTTCCAGGTCTACTGCTTTTAACTTCAATCCTAAACCTGCTGCTCCTAAAATCATCTGCCACTCTCTGATTGAGCTTCTGAACCAACTGAGTCCAGCATTCAAGAAAAACTTCACAGCCCTTCAGAAGAGGAGGTGAACACACTTGGTTTGCTGATAATAGAAATTGGTGTCACAGTAACTGACCATGGTAGAATAACAAAAACTTCAAGCAACCTAAGAATGTTTCTGTCGTGATCCAGAGTTTATCAGCACCCCTATGAGCTTATTCCAGCTCCGTTCCAGGTCTATACCTGGGCAGCACCTCTTGGAGATCACACCCTGGACTGCATCAGCTCAGAGGAGACATACACCAGTGTTATGGGGTTGGATGAGCAGACAGCTGGACAGGTTGTAAATAACAAAGCATATCGAGTGAAAACCTTCTAGTAGATGGCACTGATGCTTGGCTGTGTGTTGTGAGTTCAGACTCGAGACTGGAATGAGGAGCTGCAGAGATCCAGGGAGCTTCCTAGAGCTTCCCTACAGGAGCGACTGCACAGAGACAGGTGCATCTTCAAGGTGAGCAACAGCTTCACCAAAATCACATTTTAACCATCACTAGTATAAAGCAAAACACATGTTTTACCCTAGACCTGTTTCATCTTCTGCCTGCAATCATAAATTTTTTGTCCTCCTCTGAGAACGTTTTTTTTTTTTCTCTTCATGCAGATCAACAGTTATTTTGTTGCAGCTGCAGCTCAAGGTGCGGTGTCCATCATGGAGGGCAGCGTTATGCCGTTAAACCCGGGGGAGCAGTCTCATTTCCAGATATTCGTGTGGAATAACCTCTTCTTCAGCCAGGCATTTGACATATCAGAGCACTACAAGCCAATAGGCGGCGATGCTGCTGCTCATGCTGCTGCTATGCACGACCTGAGAGGAGTTCAGGTGAAATGTATTTAAACCATATTGATCGTCGTCTTGATCATTCTCTCATTTTGCCAATTCACAGCCTTAAATTTTACTCACTATATTTTATTTAGACCTCTAGATGAGAACTTGTATCTATTCTATCAGCTAAGAGTTTAAATAACTAACAAAGGGAGCAAGAATATTGACAAGTGTAAAGAAAATATTTTTTAAAGTAAATTATGGTATATTTCAGTCTTTCAAAACCTTTTTCTGGGCAGAAAAGTGCTTTAGTCGAGGTGCTTTAATGAACATCTACGATCTGATGAGCCTCCAAAATGTCTTGCTATTCTGAGGATCAACATAGAATTCTTCTATTTCTAGGCATATTCAACTGCTGACATTGAAGGTCTTCACACTCTTGGGACGGCTGTGATCGACTATCATGGTGTCCGTGTCGTTGCTCAAACCATCATTCCTGGATTATTGGAAAAAAACCATGAGCAGATAGTTTACGGCTCTAATGACAATGGGAAAACAGTCTATACCCACCCACGGTGACAAACACTCTCACGAGTTATTACATTCTAGATGCATCCATGTTAATGTAGTAAAACTTACATCAAGTTATTCATTTTTATTTTTCTGGGGGGGGATAGGTTTTTAGAGCTTCTGGACAAGAGCCTTACCTCGCTCAGAATCCAGCGTCACCAGGTCCTTGACCACAACAACAGCCCAGTGGAGCTCTGCTCAGCCGTCTCCACAGTTGGCATATTTGGAAATGATGGGCGGCCCTATATTTTGGACCTTCCGCGGACTTTCCCGCAAGATCTGAACTTCCAGTTCAGCTCAGCTGACAATGAGGAGGAGGTACCCAAAGAGTGTCAGAGCTTTGGTTACCCACAGCTGCATCCTCACGGCCTGGCCAGCCTCAGACCAGAGCTGATAGAGGCCTACGTCCAGCACAGGTGAGGAGATGGTGAATGCTGACATTATAGTGCCATGGTTCCAGAGATGGGAAGTAGCGAAGTACAAATACTTCATTACTGTACTCAAGTAGATTTTTCTGATGTTTTTACTTTACTTTACTACTTATTTTTATGGCGACTTTTTACTTCTACTCCTTACATTTTTACACAAATATCTGTACTTTCTACTCCTTACATTTAAAAAAAATGGCTCGTAACTTTAGTTTTGAATCATTTCAATGGAGTTACCGTTATTATTTTTCACGTCATCAATACCAAATTCAATCTAATTGGATGGGAATCTACGTTGCATTTGACGCACCACTACAAGATGAATCGACAGATTCGGCGGTATTCATTCGCTGCAAATCATTGCAGCTTGGTGGCGGTGGCGTTAGCATAGTAGTATGGATGACGAGATGATTGAAAATGAACACAACGAAGATCTAGTCCTATTGGCAGACATCCATTTAAAATGTAGGCAACGACATGAAAAAAGTGGTTTCTACTTTTACTTTTATACTTAAAGTAAATTTACAAGCCTGTACTTTGTTACTTTTACTTGAGTAAAGAAGTTTAATCAGTACTTCCACTTTTACCAGAGTATTTTTTAACACAAGTATCTGTACTTTTACTCAAGTACGGAAAGTGAGTACTTTTGCCATCTCTGCATGGTTCCTAATTAGGCTAGAACATCTACTAGGTCTAAATAACTACAAGCACAAAAAGTCTGAAAGGGTACTTTGTATTTCTAGGCTGTTCTATCTTCACTCTTTCAATGCTGTGAACTCATTTCCTTCCTTCCTTCCTTCCTTCCTTCCTTCCTTCCTTCCTTCCTTCCTTCCTTCCTTCCTTCCTTCCTTCCTTCCTTCCTTCCTTCCTTCCTTCCTTCCTTCCTTCCTTCAGTAACTCAAACTTTTCTCTCCTGTTGATCATACTTCTGTCTTTATATCCTACCTCTTATCTGTCTTCTTGTGTTTTCTTATATCTCACATAATAGACTGACTGTAGTTCATTTATTACCTTACATTCTTGTTGTGGAATACTTGTATATTCAATGCCCACCCTAGTATGATTGCCAAATATTGCCAAATAATATTCAGACTTTCATATATTGTTCTGTAAATAGACATCTAACTGGCTGCATATTAGTTCAAATTAAAGGGCGAATTGAGCTCAAATAATCGTCAACATCAAACTCTTCTAGTTATATGAATTAAATACATCACAACTTTCATTCAACATATAAAAGTAACAAAAATCTTTCAAACAGTAGTTCAGTAGGGATTTTATATTTGTAAACCAAACTTTTTTTTAAGAATTTGGAATGAGATTTAAGTAACTTTTAACTACTTTAGAGCAGTTTGAATGTGTACAAACCAGCTCACAATGAAACGCAGCAATAGTAATTACTGTTCAGAATATCATGTATTTCCCAGGTGTGAGCTATATGGGAAGATGGCATCTGAGGACCTAAGCCAACAGTCCTCTGCAGAGAAGATGGAGCCTCAGAGAACTGGGGATAGAACTGCAGGTAAAAATGAAATATTCACATATATAGTTAACATGTGATTAGGTCTAAATGATAAATAAGATTCTGACTGTTTTACTTACAAATAACTTATTTTTTAGATAGAACAAAACAGAGGAAATATCTTCTATGTATATTTCTTTACAGATGTTAGATCAGTGAGCAACTCTTGCTTCTACTTCAATCCTGATGCCTGCTCCCCAGGTACTGCACACTTTTGACCCAACAGATCCTTTTGCTTTCGATAAAAAAAGTTATTAAACCAGAAAAAGATTTGAAACGATAAAAAAAAAAAAAAAATGAGCCAGTTAATCCTTGTGTCTTTGCATTTTTTCAGGAGTACGTTTCCCCTCCGAGTGTCTCCCAGAGCTACAGAGGCATAGACAGCTTTTGTGGGATGCAGCTGCTTTTCTGCTCTCAAATCAGATCCCTGCAGTGGTAAGTCAGGTCTGGGAGTAATAACGTTCACTTCTACTGAAATCTCTGTGTGAAGCAGAAAAAACTAAAAGGTATTTTAGATAAAGCACCACAGATAACATGGCAAAGAGTGAAGACAAAAATAAACCGAGATGGGTTTATAATTAATTTTCACCTCAAAAACAAAGGGATTCACTAAACAGCTATCAGGTCTCAACGTAAAGCTTTGTTGCCTATGAAGCGAAAACACATAAGATATTTTTGTAGATCAAACAATAATCCTGATGGTACCGTAGAATATTGTTCCTTGGCCTATTTTGGGAGATAAAATGTTTTGAGTGTGCCTGTTTGAATGGGAGTAATGATAGAGAAATCCTGACCATTCACTATGCTGTACTGTTTAGTGGGACAGAAAGCAGATGCCTCCTTACTCTAGACAAGGATGAAGGGAAGGTAATGAGAATTCACACAGCCTCCTTTATGCCGTGGCTAAAATCTATGTCTTTGATTAACTGAAGTGTTTTTCTTGGTAATAACCAGATGTTCAACTGTGGGAGAGATCTTTGTGCAGGGGGTGGGTTTAGTTTCATGGGAGAGACAGAGTGTTGAATTGTTTTGGTATAAATGTATGTGTTAAGGATGATTAAGTCAGAGAGAGCTCTATCTCCCTCTCCGTCCAAAAGGACAATAAATAAAATTCATATACTGTATGTATCTTGCAAGAAAAATGCTTTCGACTCAGACTCCTAACTTCACAGTACCATGCCTCAAATTAATTGCAAGTGAACTGCAGTTCTGAAAATCAACCAAAATGAAAAATACTCACCTTTATTATATACATACAGTAACGCAGACTTAAGAATGAAACGGGGGCATACGGAAAAAGTGGGTTATTCTTAACAGAGAGCTCTTTCACTGTGCATTCGAGCAAATGTACACAAAGCAGCTGACCTTTTTATTCTAATTTCTTTGGATGCAGCTTAGACTTTATATGTTAGAATGTTGACACAAACCAGCATTTAGGGAGAACATCAATCAAAACCAGCTCAAGGTTTCACAGCAGTAAAACACCTCTAGAGTGTTGGAAATGACAGGTACATCGCAAATAAGCAAGACAGCCGTCTTTCCTATGACTCATATGGAAGTAAATATGTGCCATCAGAATTTGAATAAAAAATACCTCTGAAATTTGAATGTTGTATATTAGTGCTTACTTTTTCAGTATTAAAATAAATTCAGAGTATATTTTTAACCTAAAAAAAATTCAATGTCATTATTTGTACATAAAAAAAAAATTCAGTATAATTTTTTTTTACATGGTTGCAATTTTCAGTTATTAAAAAAATTCACATTCCTATTTCAAAGTGATAAAATTTTCAATATACATATTTTTCACAGTTTAAATTTTCAGTGTTAAAAAATTCAGCATATAAAAAATTCAACTTTTCAAAATTCAAATGCAATATTTTCGTTGTCCTCCAATTCAACTTGCTCAAATTCACTGTCTCAAATTCAGCGTCTAAAAATTCGCTGTAAAAATGGCCAAGGTTACTTCAGGTCACAGACATTAGCAATGGATGTCCGATTCCAACATCACCTAATCACGTGATACAACCGTTATATTGAAGAAGTACCAGTATCACCCAGGCTGGCGACCATGGAGGCGAACTCAAACCCAATGGTGAGTTTAATGCTTTCATATTTCTGTAGTATATTTTATTTTGCGCATGAAGTTTGATACATTATCTTAAAGCCTGATTTAAAACACTGGTTTGGGCCGTTGTTAATCTTACACCGTGTAGTGCCGGCATATTACTTCTCGCTACCTCCGAGCACCCCCCCCCCCCTACCCAATTTCCCCCGTTTTATTATAAATACCACTTGCGCCAAGTCTAGAATCTTTAAAGAGAACTGATGGGTGGTGACTTTCTGCGTTGTTTGTATGTTGTCTTAGGTGAGACTGAGACAGGCAGTCGATGCCTACTGTGCTCTTCTCCCATTAAAATTGTAGAAACTATATCAAGCACAAATAAATCTACAATTTGGTAGGTAACTGGTATTTTGAATGATGTTGTAATGACAATAAATTTCTTAATTAATTCATAAATGAAGTCACCTAACAATACAGTAGCTGATCAGAGTGGAGTCGGAACTGTTTACAGCCCCTCTTTGAAGCACACAAGGCAGCCATATTAGCTTACTACATTAGCGGTAGCATCTCCTGAAAAATTACAACTTTACTAAGACTGCCTGGAGAAGTGGTATTTCTTTTTGAAACAAAACGGGGGAAATTGGGTGGGGGGGGGGGGGGTGCTCGGAGGAAGCGAGAAGTAATATGCCGGCACTACACGGTGTAAGAATAACAACGGCCCAAACCAGTGTTTTAAATCAGGCTTTAAGATAATGTATCAAACTACATGCGCAAAATAAAATATACTACAGAAATATGAAAGCATTAAACTCACCATTGGGTTTGAGTTCGCCTCCATGGTCGCCAGCCTGGGTGATACTGGTACTTCTTCAATATCACGGTTGTGTCACGTGATTAGGTGGATGTTGGAATCGGACATCCATTGCTAATGTCTGTGACCTGAAGTAACCTTGGCCATTTTTACAGCGAATTTTTAGACGCTGAATTTGAGACAGTGAATTTGAGCAAGTTGAATTGGAGTACAACGAAAATATTGCATTTGAATTTTGAAAAGTTGAATTTTCTATATGCTGAATTTTTTAACACTGAAAATTTAAACTGTGAAAAATATGTATATTGAAAATTTTATCACTTTTAAATAGGAATGTGAATTTTTTTAATAACTGAAAATTGCAACCATGTAAAAAAAAATTACACTGAATTTTTTTTTTTAATGTACAAATATTGACATTGAATATTTTTTAGGTTAAAAATATATTCTGAATTTATTTTAATACTGAAAAAGTAAGCACTAATATACAACATTCAAATTTCAGAGGTATTTTTATTCAAATTCTGATGGCACATATTTACTTCCATACCAAATTGCTTTAATGATGTCAACAGTTCATGAATCTTCATGTGAACACGTCACCACCTACTGGTGGAGTTTAGAACTACAGTTAGTAATATACTCTGGGATTTTTTTTGCAATTGCCATTTATTAGTCATTCAGGTCATAGTAATTCCAAAAAAAAGTTAGAAACAATCCACTGGACTTTGTTTCCAAGTTTGAAGACGTTTTGCTTCCCATCCAGGAAGCTTCTTCAATTTTTTATTCAAAATTATTTTTTTATTATTGAAAAAGCTTCCCGGATGGGAGTGAATTGACTTTTTTGTAATAGTTTTTCTTGTTTTTTTTTTTTTTACCCATTTAAGTTCCTTTGAAATTGTTAATGAATGGTCTGTGTAATAAAATGTTTTTGTAAGTTTTTCACGTGTAAAATGTTAGAAGAAAAAAATTATGCACTTTTTTTTATCCATTTTAGTTAAATAAATTCAAGCAGACAGTGAAAGGTTTTTGTGCAACTTGGGCAATGATGAGCAAAATGAAAGGTGTTAGTCATTTTATTCAAACATAATAGTTTTTGCACAGTTTTTAGTGTTAATCGGGTTGGAAGTTTATGTGTTCAATCAATCTTTTGGTTAAAACAACCAATCTAATTTGGTTATGTTTTTACCCAATCTATATTTGTACTAGGGCAAACCTATACAAATTAGTCACATTAGCCTAAATACTTGTTCTGTTTTATGGTATCAACCTCAGGAGTCGAAGTGCATCTCTGACAGCTGACACCACTAGCAAGGTGAATATTCTCCAGAAAGCAATACTACTTAAAACCCATTACATCTAGTGGTTTCCTCAGTTTTTCATAATTACATTGTTTAATCTAACAAAACTAGTTTTAACCAACTAGATTGGTTTTTCCAGCCAATCTGTTCTTATAATATAACAAAAACTATCCAAATCTCCTACAAGCTCCCAAATCTTGATTGAACACAGAGGCTGTTTAAATGCCTGCTGAAGTTCCAGGCGAGCTAAACACTTCCCGAAGCGGTCACATGGTATGGCTCCCTCCAGTACTTGACACGCCTCGAAGCCTCGGCTCATCTCATAGCATCACTACTTTCTGTTGCTTTTTTTCCTGTTGCCTCTGTTCTTTGTTTCCACTTTCATGCATCCCTTCTTCTCCAGTTTGCTTCTGTTACCTTCTTTCTGTTGGTGCTCTTCCAGCTCCAGCTCTTCCTGCAGCCTCTCCTCTGTTCCTCTTCTTCCCTCCTTTGTTTGGCATCCTACTGTTTTTTTTGGTGCTCATGATCTCAGGTTTGCCACTCCCTTTTTCGCCAGCCACAGCTCAATCCTGATAGTTGGTTTAGTCTGCAGGTGTAGGTCCAACTGGTAGACCAAATGCATAAAATAATAATTCAAAGGACAATAAAAGCATGCTTAAAATAAAAGTAGGATTTATTTTCCATCCTTTGACGTGTGTTTTTTATATGTTAGGTGAGGGACTGTCTCAACCATTCAGCCGTCCCAATGGATGGAGTGACTCTGACCTCAGCGATCCATCGGCGAGGTGTGAATATGCGATATCTGGGCGCCATACTGATGGAGCTGGACAAGGTGGAGGAGAAGGAGAGACTCAACCATGTAAAGGTAACTAATGGAACAATAAAGCTGTCTAAAGGTCATAACACAACATCTCAAAGCTTAAAGGTTGTTTCTATTTTTATGTGATTTATGTGATTGGTGGATTGTGGATTTACTGACCACCTATAAACAATGCAATGAAAAAGCTTTTTTTTCTGTTCTGTGTTTCCAAACAGAGATGTAGCCAATCACAGTTAAAATCAAGTTCAGGTTAAACGCTTTCCTTTAGGTTTAACTGAGAAACTATGGTCAAAATCACCGTTTGCTTGTTTTCATGTAAAAAAAAAAAGGTGAAAATGTAACTAAGTGCTTGAATACTTTAATCTATTATTTAGGTTTTTATTAAAACAAAAATATATTCCTGAAGATATCAAAAAGAGTCATTGTGTGCGTTTCTTGAACATCCTCAGTGATTGCTGTGTGCAACTGCACTTGTTTTATTTGCAGTTTAAAAATGACAAATGCAAGAAAAAAAAATTATTTTAAGGCTAGAACAAGACAACATTTAGGTTTAAATTTAAGGATTACATTTACTGAAATGAAAAAGCCACAGTTGATTGGATGTACAAATAACCAGTCATATCTTCCAACAGAGAATTTCCATCAGTGAAGTCATCATCAGAAGTGCAAAGCACATCTTCAGGACCTACCTCAAGGTAAACAGTGAAACAATTCCAAAACAAAAGTAGAAATCTTTAGTCTATGGTTTATTCATTTATGTTATTCTGTCAGGGTGGGGAGCCTGCAGCTTTTTCTGTAGCTGTCAGTCACTTCCTAAACTGCCTCCTGAGTTCGTCCTCTTCTGCACCTGAGTCCTCCACAGAAGAGCTCCCATCCCGTCGCAGGAGTCGCCGGCGGAGAAGCCAGAGCAACAGAGCCAACTTTTCAGCAAAGACCATGTGGGCAAGACTGACCTCTGATGAGTTATGGAGCAGAATCAAGAACGAGGCGCAAGATTATTACCACTACACTTTTAAAAGGTGCATGTGAGTCTGTGCATGTGTGTCAGAGTGCATTTTTGGCAGGACTTTACACTCTCTCAATCTTCTCAATCAGTGAAAGTTTAGACGAAGTAATAGAAAAACACAACCTTCAGAGAATCTCACTTTTGAGAGAGATGGCCATCAAGACTGGCATTCAGGTAAGAATATTTTTCTTTTACCTTCTCCATATAGATTGTTTTAATTTTCAGGTATTTTAGACTGAATAACCTTTTTTAGATTCTAAGATCAATATAGAAATATATTCCATCATTACAGGGATCTCTGTATATGGTTCAAGGACTGCCTGGTAGTTTCTCCATTATTAGTATAAGTGAAAACTTATTTGGGCTGAACTATTCATTAAAAAAGTTAATTGGAATTGTTCTCATCGATATTGCAAGTTTAACTTCAGTTTCTGATTTTTTCAAATTAACTTTGAGTGGAATATTGTGCAGTTATATTTTAAAAACATGACAGAAATTGCCTTATCAAAACATTAAAAGTTAATACTTTTGATAAAATAGGAAAACTAAAGGTAAGATTGAGCCCACTTGTAAATACATTTAATAAATGGAACACTGCAAAAAATTTAAATCTCAATAAGTCATTTTTTTTTCTTAAAATAAGTGCATTTTTTATTCAATTAGGGAGGTAAGTGAGTGATTTTGCCAGTCGAACTAGACAATTTACATTTAAAATAAGAAAAAACAACTGCATCTTACTTTAAGATTAAAAATACTAATTCCATTGGCAAATCCTCTTATTTACCTGCTCTAATTAAGCGTAAATACACTTAAATTAAGACATTTTTACTAATTTTTAAATCATTTTTGCAGTGAATGCATGGTATTCATTAGAATTTCCTCTGTCCCTGTTAAACCCCTCTTGAGTCCTTTTTTATTCAGATAATATGCATGTTGTCCTACACACTTGAATTTCCCTCTGAATGAATAAAATTACCTGTATCAATCTACCTATCTTTTTACTTTTATTACCACAACTGCAATAACTGTAAAAATCCAGCATAAAGAGACTTTTCAGGGCCATTTACTATATTCCTTATCCCAAAGCACAGAATACCTAAACAAATTTCTTTAATAATTCCTAAATATAAAGATAGTAATCTGTAAAACATACAAACCAGGTAATTTATCATGTAATCATATGTGTTGACTGTATTGAAATGTAATTAAGTTGTGCTTATTAAATGTATATTTATCTCTCTGTCATAAGATGAAGAAAACGCTCACATATCATAAAGGATCAGATGGTTTTTCCACTGATCGTTGTACCAGGTCCGCAAGAAAAGCAGCAGCAATCACTTTCTTCTGGACCTATGATTTAACTGTGTGACCTTAGCTAATGTCTTGAATAACAAGTACAGAGTTTTTATGTGCTTCTCCTGTTCGTCCAGTTCAATTAGCCAGTTCAGCTTTTTATTTCTCTTTTCTCACTAAGATCCATGTAAATACAGATCTCATATTCGCAGCACAAAGCACAACTTTATAGGTTGAAAGAAGAATGTTTGGAACCCCCTGGAGGTTTTATTCCCCTGAAATGATGTTACAGGGCCAACAATAAACAGTTTGAATCTAGCGATTCATTGGAAATCCATCTAGAAATCCGATGACACAGGTAGAGTTCTGATTGCCATGCTTGGTTGGCTGGTAGATGGCATGTAGTGAGGGTAAAATATTGCAAAACCTTAAGCTTTGATGATCATGTGGTTATTTGGTATGAAATGGCAGTTTGCTTATGATTATGCAGGGAATATTACCGATTATATGGACAATGCAATGTAAATACAACAGGAAAGGAAAAACAGGAAAAAGGACAAAAGATGAAAGAAAGATGAGATAAAAGGGAGACAATGATAAAACATCTTCAGTCTGCTTAATCACCTGCAAAGAGATGTAAAAAGAACAGCACTACCAACGGATATATTATAAGAGATAAAATCAAGTAGCACCTTGATACTATCGCTGAAGTAAAAGTAGTATTATTTGATCTGACATGTATTTTGTGGTAGTTGAAGATAAGAATATGGGCTTCTGTATAGAAGTGGATCTCTAAGTACCTGGAAACAAGCACCTGTAGTTGTTTGTATGAGTGCACTTGTGCATGTAAAGTTTATCCAAAGGAAAAATGCTCAATAGTGGTTGTGAAGAGCCAAAGACGCGCCCCCTCAGAGCACCGAGGCAAGCGCCGGAGGACCCAAAACCCCAGACGCCCACAATGCCGAAGCCCCCATGAGCCACGGGGATGAACACGTGGGCTTCACCGGCAGCCTGCCACCCCGAAGTGGAACCGGCCATGGGCCTCGGAGACCCCAGGCCAAAAAAGGGCAGTTTTCATCAGAAAACAATAAGTCGTTCAACCCTTATATCCTTACTATCTATGTACATTCCAAAAGAGTTTCCAAGTTTGAAGACGTTTCACTTCCCATCCAGGAAGATTTTTCATTTCAAAATGTCAGAATTATTGTTGAGTTCCAAGCTTTATAGAGCTTAGAAAACATGCACATTGAACAGGAAGAACAGCTCCGCCTGTTAGGCTGCAATACCCAATACTGGTCTATGCCTCTGAAAGGGAAGTTGTTAAGGGCATGTTGGCCTGGCTGACCAGGCAAGATGTCCTGGTCCCATGCATGGCCATGAGGCTTATGATAGCAGGAAAGAGTTGACTCTATCACTGTTTTGTGGGTTTTTGAGAGCTGAAACCTGAGTCCATCCCCTCTGTTTAAGGTTGGTTTTTCTCTCTTAACATTAAACCCCTTTCAAACCACCAGGTGTCGACGGACAGCCGAGTCTTGTCTGGAGGAGGTAGCTCTCCTGTGTCTGTGGAGAGGTTGTTTGGTTTCTCCACTATAAATTTCAGAGCATTTCTCACTGCACTGAACTTGTTGCAGTCTTGGTTCTGTTATGTTTTACTTTGCTCCTCGTTTTCTAGTTTTATTGTTTTAATTCCTATTTTGTTATGTTTTCTGGTTGTATTTCAGTTCTTAGGTTTTTGTTTGTTGCCCTCTTGTGTTGGTCTTCCTTTCCCTAGCTTCTTCCCAGAATGCTCTGTTCACACCTTCTCCCAATCTGCTCGTTAGTCCTCTCTTTGTTAAGTCTCCAATAAATACACTCCTTGTGCAGTTCCTCAGTGCTGGTCTTATTTCGTCTTTCCTGGTCTTACCCTGGCTCCTCATGATTGGTTTCCCCTGATGTCTCCATGGTTCTGGTTTGTTTTACATTTTTGAAGTTGGATTTTTTTTGGATTCCTGCCTCTGTTACCTGTGTTAATTTATTAAAGACACTGCAAGCACTCGCCCCTGCCTTTCAGCCTCTGCATTTGGGTCCAAAACCACAACCAAACCCTGACAGGACTGCATACAACCACTCTGCTCATCTTAGGTCTCTGGGTTTTTTCTTTATGATGCAAAGATGCATATCAACGCACACATCTTTGAAGAAAGCCAGTGGTTACATGAGGACACCAAAACATCAATGTTAGTAATAAATGTAGTATAACAGCTTGAAAAAGCAAGGCTATGAAAAAAAGAAAACCAAGAAAGAATCCTTGAGGAACCCCTAAGGTGATCTTTGTTTTCTAGGATTTAGAAATACCAAATTGCTAAATAATTGGAAAACAAGTTGGATTTCCTGAAATACAGTGTTTTTTTTTTTTTTTTTTTTTTTTTTTTAGCATATCAAAGGTATATTATGTAGGTACTCTAAGTCTTCACAAAGTTGCAATGCATATGAAATATTTCTGTAGTTTATACACAGAAAGAAGGCGCGCACATTCAGTGATTTTTGATGCTTGAAATTAAAACATGGTTTCAACTTCACCAAACAGTTGATCTTTTTTATTCTTCTTTCTACAGATGCAGCTTAGAGATTATGTGTTTGAGTGTCGACACAAACCAGCATTTAGTGAGGAGGATATTGTGAACATGTTTCCTGTGATCAAACACCTCAAATCTTCTTCAGCTCATGCTGCAGAACTTCTACAGCGAGCACAGCTGGCAGTACAGCAGGGTAAGGGGCATGGTACCAATGCCATTGCAATGTTTGCTGTGTTTATATTGCACCTTGTTTGCTAAGGTAATCCTACAGACTGCTTAAATGAGCAGCTCTAATGTCGCAATTAGCTTGACATTCTGTAATTTGCAGGCTTGAAGGAAAACATCATCAGGACTAGACGAGGGTAAAACAAAGGCACAAGATGAAATTTTGCAGTTTTCATCTTGATTTTAATTGGAAAAAGTTTAACAAACACCTTTAACATGCAGCAGAATAATACTTGCCTAACAACAGATTTTATTTTATTTCTTTTTGCTGCAAATAAATGTTTCAGACCATCAAACAAATTTTAATTCTTGTAAAAGAAAATCTGAGTGAGTGCCCAAGGAAGTTTTAATGATTTGATTTAATAAGGTACAAAAAAGTTTTCCAAACCAACTTGAAGTGAAAATCTAACCTCCCCACATTTTTTAATTATGATTAAACTGTAATCACTAATATTTCTAAACAGCTGTATCCAACCTAATTAGCCATGTCCAGGCCAGATTACTCCCAGATGGGTACAATCAAGGTTTCACTTCAATACAACAGACCCAATCTAAAGAAATTCAGAAACACATGGAAAAACATGATCCATCTGTTAAAAAAAAATACATTTCTTAAGGTCGCCGCTGAACCCCGTGGACCTTAAGTGGGGGTAATAATTCAGAATGTATAAAATTCCGCTGGTAAAATGTTTACCAGTAGGTGGAGCCATTGCGCGCAGCTCCAAGCTGACATCAAAAACTCAAAACCCCACAGCTCTGGAGCTGTTATAGCTAGAGGTCTAAAATGTTCTGCACTTATGGTTGACATGATGTAGAACAAATATAATACAATGAAACCTGCTTTTTCTGAAGAATGTCTTTATTACTGCCGCTCAAAAAAGACCTATCATTTCCGAGAATAATGAAAAACAACTTTTAGTCATGTTTGAACTGATGCAGGTTGGTCTGTCTTCTAGTCACCCAACTTATATATTCAGAAACTAGAGGGTGTTAGCTCAAATAATGTATTCTACATGTAATTTGGGATTACAGTTCCTAAGTTATTTGCTGTTCCATTTGGGTATGCAAAATAGGCGAGAATTACCCAAAATGAGGTGGTTGTTAAGCGGTTAAGATTAAAAAATAAAATATAAATCAAGCAAAAAGAAAATTTATTTAAATAAACCTAACTACTGAACCAAAACCTAAAAGGCCAGTCTCATATTTGTCGATAAACATAGTAATTATCCTGAAGACTATTGGAAAAACATTCTGTAGACTAACCAGACAGAGATTCAAATCACATTTCACAACAAGTCTAAATTTTACACAGCATTTTAGAACACAAACCTGATTCAGGACTAGGGGTGTAAATCACATCCATCATGGCGATTCGATTCAGTATCGATTTCCTGACCCAACGATTCGATTATTTTCGATACTCAAGAATACACCACGATATGATTCGATTAATTGCTTCTTTTTTTTTTTTTTACACCTTACAGACTAGACAATGTTTCAAATTTGAAATAAATCAATTAAAGCTGTAATATCGTTATGCATTTTTTTTTTTGAGAAACAACAGCAAATAACAGAAGCAGAAAAGTTTTACTCCACCTATTCCTATTAAAACCTCATTTACTAAAAAAATAATAATGCCCCTGCGTTATAGATTCTGAAAGGCCTTGCATCAAAAAATACTGCACAAAATCAGTGCAATGAATGCAATTCCACAGACGCTCCGCTGCACCTCTCCCAAATTGTAGCTGACAGCAAACAGTGCCACAGACAGGAGGCCGGCTGCTTTTGTTTTTATGACAGAAATTGCAGAAAAACAACTCGTGAAGTTTGACCTGCTAGAAGAGCGTGGTGAGCGAGAACGCTGGGACCCTTTTTCCACTTGGATCTCTTTTTGGCCCTCATGTCCCTCCGTCGTCGGACTAAACTCGCCCCCACTTCCTCTCCGCCTAGGCCGTATCTAGACCCACAGGGTGTAGCACAGACCACGCTTTAATATTGAGCATAAATCAAAAATGTCTGCGTCAAGCTCACTGCAACACACTGCTGTAAGAGTATAACCAGGAAGCGAGGTAGGAGGGCCAAATAGGTCTAGCGCCACCGGAGCACGGGAGGGAGAATTATGTCCAGGAGCAAATGGATAAAAATAGACCGGAGGAAAAAAAAAACCATTAATCAATACTCTTGCGGACGTATGGATGAATCGGATCGTCGGCTGTTGGTTCGATGCATTGATACAAAACTATTTACAGTCCTATTCAGGACCCCAAAAATTTATAAAACCATCAATTTGTCACCTTAATAGAAAGCCTGGAAGGAGATGTCCAATAAACTGCTTCGTTTTAAACTGAAGGACACTTTGGCGGTGCAACTAGAAGTTAATTAAAGTAAATTAGGAAGTTTACCCTTGTGTGGCTAAAAAAAAAGACTAAATGGTTGTGGAGTGGTCAAAGTTTGGGTCTAATTGTGGGTGAGAAAAATGATTAGGACATTAAACAGGCCATTTATGATAGAAAGGTTGCTGTGGACCAAACAATTGTGATAAAAAATTTGGGTTGAGGACTTCAGATGGATCATGTCAAAGACATTTATTGTTATTACAAACCAGGTAGAAGCTTTTCTTTTTTTACGCAGGGCCATGATTTTTTTTTCTTTTATATATATATATATATTGTACTTAAATAAAGTAAATCCTTATTAAAAGCTGCATTTGGTAACTCGGGTCATCTTAAACTGATGATCAGTAATATTTTCCAAAAAAAAGTAAAAAAACAAGCAATTTGCAAGCAGGGCAGACATATTCTAATCATTAATGATGATTATATCGTTTCCAACCTCTCCTGCCTTACTTTTAACATTATGTTGAGGAAATACATAATATATAACTTTGACCTTATTCTTAGTGATGCAGAGCAAAATCCGCTGTTCTTTCTCTAATAAATGCTCCTTTAGTGGTAGGACTGAAATAACTGTCCCAGCAGCTTTTTAGGTGACATATTTGCATGGAATGTAAACGGAAAATGCTCTAATTTACTATAAGTTATCTCTTTTAGATTTAAAGCAATTTTATTTGTATCAGTTTAGGTTGATCTCAGAAGCTAGTTTTCCTATTTTAATGCCTTCTGCTTAATTCTCTTCTAAAAGTCTAGATTTGTGCATTCACCCAACCTAAGCTGGGGATCTCTCCAGCTCATCCAGAGTTTTAATATAACACTGCTGTGTTATATCACTTGTCTGATCTGTAGATGGACGCCCGTGATTTACGATTTATGTTTTTTATTACTTCCCAGGGCGTCTCAGAGCAGGTCTAGACTTGACCAGTGAGGCCCTGACTCTTTTCAGCAGTGTTTGTGGGGTCCTGCACGAGGACGTTTCCATTTGTCTGCGCCTCCTAGGACGGCTCAGCTACATCTTAGGAGAGAATGATGAAGTAAATATCGAATTCAGTTCCTTTCTTCCACAACGCGTTGCCTTATTATATCCAGCAATTCATGTTTTGTGTTTTGCCATGTATCGTTTCAGGCTCTCAACCTTCAGGAAAAAGCTGCTTTGAGTTCTGAGAGAATACACGGGATAGACCATCCACAGACCATACAAGACTATGTGTGTTCCTTTCTTTTCTCACTAATCTACTGTTTATGGTTCTATTGTTCAATAATAAAAAAAAAATCTAATTTCACAATCATTCGATTGTGCCACATATTAAATTTGCATCGTTCCTGTGGTTTAGACTCACCTGGCCCTGTACTACTTTGCCGGAGGACGCCTCTCAACATCCCTTCAGTTGCTCTATCGTTCTCGATACCTCACCCTGCTTGTAATTGGAGAAGATCATCCACAAAATGCGCTTTTGAATGTAAGGAAAATAAATCATCTGTTCAAGTGGGACAGGGAGCATATTTTTATTGATCCATTTAGTGGGGACTTTGTTTGCTTTTACCAATATTTGAGCATGTTTGATATTTTTATGACAAAATAAACACCCTAATGTTAAATATTCATATTCAAAATTAGATTTTAAACAACAATGAGTTTTTAAATTCACTAGAAATGTACCTTATTGTTCTGTTGTTTAACTCCATGCTGGTAATATGTTACTGGTGTAGCTTTTGTTTATTCATCTCTTTTTGCCAACAACTTTGGATGAGAAATAAGCCCCATTTACACTACCCTTTTAAAACCGTGCCGAGATTGGTCCGAGCACGCTAACCAAGATAACTGTTGAGTATAAATGGTACGCAGAACTGAACCGAACACGGCTAACATAGTACAAGCTCATCAGTAGGCTTCGGTGCGGTTCAGTTGTGGCTCGGTTCTCAGATAACAAAGAGCGCATGAGCAGAACGCATAATTTCTGTCATGATTTTACTTAAAGTTCAGACCCACATGCTGAAGACCAACAGGGGGACCAGGAGAAAAAGTTTAACAGGTTTTCATTGAAGAGATAATGCAGAGAGAAGTGTTGCTATGAACACTGCTCAAACGGAACAGAAAAGTGAGGGGAAGACACAGAGATTAGTTCAGGCTCAGTGGGAAATTTGATCTGGTTGCTGACTCACATTTCCAGAGAAGTTGTTGAATCTTTGACTCCAGTCGGTATGCTGTTGTTCCCGTGTTTGTCTGATTCTGTGGAGGGCGGAACAGGGTTTACCCAGAATGCGGTTGTTTGTACGTGAACGGAGAAGCTGACTGCCACTCAGATTTCCTGCGGTACTTGAACGGGTCGTAGTGGAGACAAATCCCTTTCTCAGTGTGAAGCTCAAACTATTTCTTAGGGAAAGTCGATCCAAACCTCCTGTTTGTAACCCCAGCTCAGCTTGAAGCTCTGTTGATCCTTCTAGGGAGAGAAGGTCAGAAAAATCCAGTTTGCAGGATGACTTCCTGCCGAGAAGCAAGGACAAAAACAATTTTGAAACTCAGGTTGACAAGAACCCAGTTTGACTCAGCGAAACTCAGCTTGGCTAGAGTACCCAAAAGTGGCAAACACTCTGGCGTCGAGGTAGTGGCAGTCAGCAGCTTAAGAACACTCCATTAACGAGGAAACCATCAGCAGGTGTGTGAGGAGGCGGACCAGAACCAGGCGCCTCCTGGTGGAGGAAGGGAGACAAACACAGAAACACAAACACACAGACAGGAGTCCTGACAATCTCTTTACATTCAACCTCCGTAATCATGAAATTTCAGACATTCATAAAAATACTAGCTTCCCTACTGTCCCACACGATTTCCAGTGATGATTCTGCATAGCAGTGTGATGGACCTCAACGTCTGTTTAGACTATTATTTGTTGTGTCCACTTTCTAAAAGCTGACTCTTTCAAGGAAATTCACCAAAGGCTGCCTTTTACGCCTGACTCTCTGCAAACAACGTCAAAATTATAACCAAACATCCTGAATGTTACAGGTAGTGTAAATGGGCCTAATGGTTTAGTTTGGGAAATATATACTAACTTCCTTCTTGGTTATCAATGCCTATTCATTCTTACGTTATATAATATTCTATATGACAGAGTATGCTGGGTTTAGTCCTCTATGGCCTGATGGAGTATGAGCTTTCGTTGAACTTCCTAAAAGCAGCCTTGACTTTAACCTCTAAATACTACGGTGCAACATCCCTGAACCACGCACACAGGTATTTATGCCCTATCTGTCAGTTTTCTTTCGGATCATCGTCAATGATTTGTCTTCCGTCACATTCTTTTGCAGTCGTCATGTTCTTGCTCTTGTCTATGAGAGCAAAGGGGAGTTCAGGCTGGCTCTGCAACATGAACAAGAGGCTTATTTAATATTTAAAAAACAGGTGAGCGTTTAAAAATAAGTTTCTTTTTATTTTTGCTGCTATGATTGTAGTCCGGAGTTTCTGTCAGCATTAATCTCTAATACACAGGTTGGTGAAGACAGTGAGAGAACTAAGGAAAGCTCAGAATACCTGAAGAGGCTCACTCAGCAGGCCGTAACCCTTCAGAAAGCCATCAATCATATCACTTCTGGAAAACAGAGTGCCTGTGTCTTAACTCCAAGGGTGTGTACATGTCTACAAATATGCAAAGAAGGAAAGCAAGGCTCACTTTGGTAAACCTGTGCTGTTTTACCTGCAGTTTCCAATGCCAAGTCATCCTGTGATCCTGCGGCAGCTCAACCTGATATGTGGAATTACATTTATGCCTCTCAGGTGAAAACACTAAGTCCATCTCACTGGATCTAGAAGTAAAAACTGTATGTTTTAAGTTATATTTCTGTTAGCCTTTTCAAAATTATCTTTAGATGTATTTTAATCTTCATCTGTCTGTATTTTCCTTCTTTCTAGTGAAAAAGAGCTCAAGGATCTAAGAGCAGAAATGCCTTAAAGGCTCGATGACCCCCAACGACAAACAACTGCTCTGAGCCATAGACCAAAAGGGACGCTACCTCGACCCACCTGCATTACATGAGAAAATCGTGCTATTGAAGGGAGAGAATAGAAAATATTTTACCTATTTTAAAATCACTAACAAAATGTACTTGTACCGCTTACAATTTCTGTAAATAAATTAAACTGAATACTGCTTTAAATCTACAATTTCTTTTTATAATTTGAGTGTGTATCAACGTTTAGTTGGTGGCATTGATTGTCTAGAAAGAATAAATTGACAGGCCATTTTCTTAGCCACTCAAACCATTGCCATTCAAACAAAGTAGATTTACATCTTATGTCAGGAAATGGTAGGTTATTTCCTTAACTTGATTCAATATACAGACAGATGAAATAAATGAATAGTTTAAAACAAGTGGATGTTTGACAAAGGCTGCTGAACAAAGACTAGTTTATAATAAGTCCACACAAAGAGAGATGGGCTGAAGTTATCAAGTTTCCATCAGGGTAAAGTTCTTTTTTGGGTTTTTGTGCACATTTTTACCAATGTGCAAACAACTGTGACAGTCTTTGAAATACTTGAAAATGTTAGATTTTCAGACCTCTGGTGCACTATTTCTGTAAAAACAAAAAAACAAAAATGGACGAATGACTAATATGGAGAGAGCCACACTCGATCCAAAAGTTGCTGATGGCTGATGTAATGGCTGAAGGCCTCCAGGATAACTGCTGCTTCCAAAGGTGAACTCTTGATCCAACAGAAAATGGACTGGAATACATCTGATGCCCGTTTTTATTCCCACTAAAATGTGTAAATAAGCTAAAAACAAGAGCAAAAGCTCTTATAAACAAAGTTCAGAGTAGCACACTAGAAAAAAGGAATACAATGTTACATCAAAAAGTAAAATCTTGAAAATGCAACGAAGAGTAAAGCTTACTTTTACAGTATATCAATAACCATGTAATGATATGGTAATAACATAGCAAGTTACACTATATTATTAGGTAGCAAGGAAAACTTTATTTGGTAATTACCCCAAAATTAATGTATATAATTTAAAATTAATTACCTGCATGTAATTATTACAATTGCAGGTCATTACGTAACATGGAGACTTTTGGTGGGTAATTACCATCAGGTTACCAGATAATAGTTTTTATTATTGGCCACCACCTACCAAAAGATTAAAAAGTAAATTGTAACTTCTAATCAGGTAAGTGCTGTGGTTCAAATTTTAGGCAGACAAGGTAAAGGTTACCCATATTTATTTCACACACAGCAATAATGTTTTAATTATCCAGTAAAATGCAGTTAATTGCTTGACATATAACAGAAAAACCAAACCTAGAAGACAGCAAGTGAATCTTCTTAACTAAACTTATTCATTGGTAAGTTGAGTTCAGTTTTATAATGATTTAGTTACCTGTTTCTAGATTACTAGTGTAAATTAGCACATTTTACCAGGTGAAATTGATTTGATTAGAATAGATTAGATAAGATTAGATTAGATTAAACTTTATCGTCATTACACAGGTACAGGTACAAGGCAACGAAATGCAGTTTAGGTCTAACCAGAAGTGCAATAGCGGCAAGTGCAGGATAAATAATGGTTCCATAAATACAGGACATGGGTTTCTACTGAATAAGTATAGAGATGAATACCATTATAAACAGACTCTTACTAATGGATTTGTCCTATGAATATAATATATTGATAACTAGTGTTATGAACTAAATTTACAGCTGGAACTAAATTTACAGCTGGCATAAACTGAGTAAATTGAAAACCATGGAGTAAATCAAGCCATTCTTTCTTTCTTTATTCAGTTATATTGGTTAGAATGATGTTGTTTGGACTGCTGAAATGTCTGTGTCGTGTTATATGTGCCTCTCTTGTGCTGAGGTTTTTTTGATATCTCAAACTGATCCTAATCCTGTCAAAGATAAAGTGTGAAATATGCTCCCCCCCCTCCTTCCCCCATGTGGATCCTATCTTTCCAAAGAGATAAAGGCAGCGCTATAGGGTATGGCCTCATGGTGGGGACCTGGGAAGAATAAATAACGTGCCAAAGGCAGCGTTCTGCAGCACGCATGGCCTCAGTAAAACCGTTCCCCCTCTCACCCCCACCCCAATGTATGTGACGTACGCGATGAAGGGTTTGTACTGAAACTGAAATCTCGATTGCAATGTAAATTGTAGTTGACAATAAAGTTGACTGATTGATTTATTGATTGACTAAAAAACTAATAGAACTAATAAGCAATATTACCAAGTAAAACACATTTAATTAATTGGTTAGTATTTCAAATCGGTACTGGAAAAGAAAGCCACCCATGTTTCTCAGAAATTGTGCAATTATTACCAAGTAAACTATTTGGTTTGTGCTATTTTAGTTATTGTAGTTACCACATAAATGTTACGTAAGCTTAGATTTTTAAAGATTAACCAGAAAAGCAGGGGGAACACAGGAGGAGACATTTGCACATAGTGGTTAAAGATTGTGCAGAAAACAGTTTCACAAGCTGCTGAACCCAGAGCTCACCTCAAGTAAATTTCTCCTTTTATGCAATGCTACAGGTAGGATAGGTCAGGTGTCATTTAAACCATCTTGAACTTATTTTAACATTATTTATATCCCCTGTTAGCATGCTAAAATGAATAAAATAATTGACTGTTGAAATGCAAATGTAAGTGGTCAGCAAGTGTTATCAGTGTCTCATAGAAGGACGTCAGGAATGTGTGTGTGTGGGTGGGCACACTGTTGAGACGTTTCTACTTTTGACTAAATTTGATGACATTTCCCATAAACTTGTGTGGTTTTAAACAGTATCTTCTACCAATGGTAGAAACGGTTATATATCAGAACTGGAACAACATTTGTTGCAGAAAAAACCCACCTAAGAAACACAATACAACAACATACATGGGAGGACATGTACCTGCAGCCATTTGAAGGCGCTGTGTTTCAGCTCAAAAGATAATTGGAAACATAGGGCATAGATGAAAACAAAAACATTAAATCTCCCACTTTGTTTTTGCAGGGCTTAATGTGCGATTGCAAAAAAAAAAAAAAAAAAATGGGAATGGGATAGGTTTGGAGGGAAGGGGTAATAAAAAGGAAAATACATTTTACCAAATTCATTACAGTAAATTTAGGGATGCATTTTGCTTCTGCTTTGTATGTTGTTAATTCAAATTTATTTATGAGATGCAATAGTGCTAGGCAATGGTGTCATTTAGCTGTATGTTTAAATCTATATAATGTATCATTTTTATCACTTTACCCAATGATTTGGTGCAGTTTTATTAACCCTCAATAGTAAATGTAAGGGAGGCATTTTTCTTCTGGTATCGAATATGTCTATCTCAAAAAAGGGATGTTTGTGGGTATTGTGTAACAAATAGGGGTGCTTGTGCAGACATCAGTTTAAACTCAGCTAAGGCTTTTGTAGCTTTAGGCCATGAAGAGATTAATCCCATTGATAGAAGTCACATCTTTTAGCTTTGACATATAAACTGTTTCTGGGGTGCTTGAGAGCTTTTTGGACCTATTTCTTGTTGTCACTGATGATCTTAGAAGAAATCTGAATTTCACCTAGTTATACCAACAAAAAGACGTGAATGAATCATGGAGGACATTGGTTACTGGGGCTTGAAAGAAGACTGGAGTGTGTTAATCAGTCTGAAATTCAGACACTAAATATTCAGTTTCCCAGGGGTCTGAAAGACAGTTTCTTTTAGCAGATCTAGACAAGGAGATAGGTGTTGCAGAGGCCCAGCTTAGTATAATGCTACATTCAGACCGCATGCGATAGAAGCAGCAAAAAAGCGCCTGCTGCTTCATTGTTGATGGTTGTACACATTAAGGTCCGACACACCTCAAGTGCATCTTTGGCACTCCTGAAGCGCATCCAGTAAAGGCTTTACAGATGCATCCGATGCTTCTGCTGCTCCTGTGTTCAATTGCAGAGAGCAACTTTGCTATATTTGTTGTTATAAGTGGGTAAAAAGTAGTTTTAATATGTTTTTAAGTGATAAATTCCACCTCAAAACATCATCTCTACAATCAGTTAATCAAGATTACGACCCCGGCGGTGCACTGTCACTGGAAATCCCCTTCAACAGCAGTCTCTGCCCCTGTCACATATTGGGGGTTTTCCGCTACTATTCGTGGCGGGCTAGAAGGAGATTTAATGGTTTTCATGTACGTAATCCAAACTGCAAGCACCAGAATAATAAAAGCTAACATATTTTGCTGGCAGGTTTTGACATTTTAAGTTAATTTAAATTAATAAACTATTTCAGGGAAGTGAAAATAGTGATCTGCATTGGTAGCGCTGTGTCTTTCTCCCTGCTAGCTCCCAGATCAGCTTCTCTGATTGGTTGATGTGGCGTGTCAAGAAGCAAAAAATGTAATTTACAAAAATGTAGGTTCACACTTTAATTTTGAAAGCTGGGAAAAATATCACAATATATAGTGATATTGCAATATGGTGATAATATTGTATTGTGAGCCAAGTATCGTGACGCGTATTGTACCGCAACACCCATACCATTACTCACCCCTACCTTAAGAGTAGCAAAAAAATGAAAAATTATGATAACAGAAGCGGCTGCTCATTGGCGCAGTGGGGAGCACTGCTGCCTTGCAGCAAGAAGGCTCCCGGGTTCTGTTCCTGGCCCATGTTGTTTATGCATGAAGTTTGCATGTTCTCCTTGTGCATGTGTGGGTTCTCTCCGTGTACTTCAGAGAGAGGTAGATGCTGGGAACCAAAGGTCTTCCTAGTGACAATCTACGGCACTACTGCTCTCTAGAGGTAAACAAGCAAACCAACATGGAGCCGCCTGTAACATTCAGGAAGTTTGCAAAGAGTCAGGCGAAGAAGGCAGACTTTGGTGAATTTACTTGACAGAGTCGGCTTTTTGTAAGTGTATACGACAAACGGTTGATTAACCTCTTACACCCTAAGGG